TGGCTCTGGATAGGAGGCCTGGCGAGTGCGTCTCCTTAATTAAATAAAATAAAATAAATAAAATAAATAAAATAAAATAAAATAACTAATATAAAAAATAAATAAATTAATCTATTTATTTATTACTTTATTTATTTATTTATTTATTTATTTATTTTTGTTTTAGTGTTAACGCCAGTGCTCCTCGTCTTGCTGCGGCCCCTGCTGCATATTCGTACGCCAAAGAAAAATAAAATAAAATAAAAAAATAAAAAAATAAAACAAACATAACTGTTATATATATACATATTTATTTATTTATTTATTTATTTATTTAATTTATTTACTAATTTATTTATTTATTTATTTATTTATTATGCAACCTGCTGGGGTGTATGTACAGCTCAAGGCGGCACCGAGATGATACAAAAAGACGAATCGCTGGGGCCCCTAAAGGGGCCCCCAAGGATTTAAAAGAAAAGAAAAAGAAATTAAAATAAATAAATAAATAAATATAAAATAAATAAAATAAATAAAATAAAGAAATAACGGAAAACAACAATGCCGTCACAGCAACAGATGCTGCAGCAGCAGCAGCTGCTGCTGCTGCTGCAGTAACAGCAGAAGCTGCGGGCAAAGCAACAAACGCTGGATTGCGGTAGCAGCAACTGCAGCAGCAGAAGCAGCTGCTGCTGCGGCAGCAGCAGCAGCAGCAGCTGCGGCAACAGCAGCAGCTGCAGCAGCAGCAGCTGCAGCAACTGCAGCAGCAGCAATTGCAGCAGCAGCAAAAGCTGCAGCAACAAACACTGCCGCCTTGTTTGTATTTAAATTAAAATTAAATGAAAATATAAATTTTGTTTTTGCTTAAAATTAATTAAATTAATGAGGTATACTACCACCGCGTTTTGTTTATTTTTATTTATTTTTATTTTTATTTTATTTTTTTTTTGTTTTTTTTTTGTTTGTTTTATTTATATTAATTTTAATTGATATTAAATACACTTTCGTCGTTTAAATTCAATTAAAATAAATAAAAACAAACAAAACAAAATAAAATAAAATAAAATAAAATAAAATAAAATAAAAATAAATTGTTTTCTTTATTGCTGCTGGCTGCCTGCTGCTGCCTCCTGCAGCTGCTGACCCAGCGTGCTGTGGACCGCCGTATACTGCACACACAAACAAAAAATATTTATTTTTATTTATTTAAAAAATATATTTATAAATAAATAAATAAATATATAAATATATATATTAAAAAGAAAAAGAACAGCAACAGCAACAACAAAAAGAAGAACCATAACAACAGGTACAATAGGAAACAGAAAAATAAAAATAAAAATAAAAATAAAAATAAAATTAAAAATAAAATAAATAAAAAACTCCGTTTTATCTTTCACTTTATTACTAGCAAGAAAAAGAACAACAGCAAAAACAACAAAAACAGAACCAACAACAAAAAGAATAAAAACAAAAACAAAAATAAAAAACTTTATTTTCTCTCTCTTTCTGTTACTAAGGAGAAGAAAAAGGACAAAAACAAAAACAGAAACAAAATAAAAACAAAAACAAACAAAATAATTTATTTTTACTAACAAGAAGAAAAAGAATAAAACAAAAACAAAAGAGTAAAAACAAAAACAAACAAAAACTTTATTTATTTATTTATTTATTTATTTATTTATTTATTTATCTTACTTTATTGAGACATCTATCTACGCAGTTGCTTTCTCCCGCCTGCAAAAAATTTGTTTTTACGCTGGGAATACACCGCGACCAGCAGGCGTTCTGTACCCTATAAAAAAATAAAAAAAAAAAAAAAAAAA